ACACACACACACACACACACACACACACACACACACACACACACATGTAGACAGGTTAAAAAAGGACGTTGGATCCATTTTCCAGCAGGTGCCGCTCCCCACCAATAGACTGGACCATCCAGGAATGTCAAAAAAAAAAAAAAAAAGGTTCAGAGGAAGGAAAAAGAACAGGGCCAAGCCCCACAAGGCAGGCTCTCACCCAATGGTAAACAACGTACCTTGTACCTCATCATGCCGGCTGATCCCTGTCCACCTTTGTAAAGCCTCCAGATTTGTGGTATTCGCACAAGTCAAGCCTCACATTTTGTGCTATATCATATGATTGTGTGTTGTGTTCTGTGGTTTAGGGTTTATGGAGTGGTGTCTGATGCTTGAGAGGGTACAGCAGCAGTTGGAAAAACAGTACCCCTGTGCGAAGACCCTGCGACCGAAATAACCAGTAGACGATCGCTCGCGCAGTGATAGTTGGGCCTTGGTAATACCGTAATACGCATGATTTGTGTACCGTGGCTTTTTTTTTTCTTTTTAGACTTTTACTAAGTTTTTAGTCTCTTTTTCCAATCCCTTTTTTTTTTTTTTTTGGTTGCCTTCTTTTTGATTGGTCTGAACCCCCGCCCCCCAAGGCTCAAAAGTAGGTAGACTCATACCCAAGCACACAGAGACATGAACAGGCGTCCCCTTCAGATAGACATTTCTTGTTGACAGGGCAAGCATTACGCAGGCACCACAGTCATCTCAGGTAATGACGACAGACGGTCAGGCACACAGGGTATACTTGAACTAAAGGGTCTTTGTGTCTTCTGATCCATATAAGACCGCAGAAGCGTGTTACGAGGTTCTTCAGCTTGAGGCTGGTCGGGAGGCGTTCTACGAGGGAGATTGCACGGGAGCTTCGAGATGGACACCAATAATTGTACGTGACTCATCGTTGAGCTTTGAGATGGACTTCGTCATCAACCTGGAACAGCTCACGGATGGTTCTTCAATTCTCATACTGATTTCTCCTTCTGTTTTCTCTTTTCTCAATCGCTCGTTGCACCCTCTGTCTCTCTCTCTCCCTCCCTCTCTCTCTCTCTCTCTCTCTCTCTCTCTCTCTCTCTCTCTCACACACACACACACACACACACACACACACACACACACACACACACA